GAGTGAAATCTCACTGAAGCTGCTGGACAAAATCATTACCTTTCATTCAAGATAAATGTAAGAAACAAGCAAACTCTTTTATGGAGCCTGATAACTGAAATTACAGAAGTTATCATCAAAAACAAGAGAAACGTGAAGCATATGGACCCATGAGTTTCTCTAGAAACTGATATGCTTAATGCAGAGAGACGCATTAATCAAGGCAAGATGATTAATCCAGATAAGCAGCAAAAATATGTAAAAGGAATAAAGAAACCACCAGCACAGCTCGACAAACTAGCATTGTGATCCTGGTAGAAGAAAAGCTGAAAGAGAGGTTGGGGGTAAAACACTGGGTGAATGAGGTTTGGAAAAAAGAAGTTATTGCCTGTTATTTGATTCTGCCTTTGTTCAAGGAAATAAAACTCTCGACTTTCTTTGTAAATAAAATGGAACTGTATCAAAGCAAAGTCCTATCCTGAGGATGAATTGTCGTTCCAGCTGAGAAGAACACAACCCACAGACCTGGCAAATTGTTTAACCACTCAGGTAAAAATGGATTAATACCATGTGAGGGGAGGCATCCAGTTTTCAAGAAAGGGAATCGTGAGGTGGAATTCCCACTGAACCAAAATAGAATCAATGAAGGAGGTATCTCTCAGAAATAGTAATTGGTAAAAAGAGATGAAAACAAGACCAGATGAAATTAAAAGAAGACTTATATCAGCTGGAGGCTTTTCAAATTAATTAAAGTAGTAGCTGGAAAATTTCCAGGGCGGTCTAAGAGATGACATGCAGGCAGAGTTGAAATCTCTGCTTGAGCCACAAACACAGAGTATCCAGACAGATTAGGAAGCCCTGTGGCAAAACAGATCGATGAGATGACTGACAACACAGCTCCTGCAGGCTAGAAAGTTTTCAAAGAAATAGGTAAGCCAGGAAAGTTGGAACTAACTTGGCACTTGCTGACTTAGAGGAGCTATGCCAAGAATATAAGGAGCTGGAGAAATAAACTGGAGGGACAGAGACAACTGCGGAAGGCTGATGCCTGGAAGTGACCTTATACCATTAGAAAAGCCAGAGTTAAGACTCTTGCCATTTTTACCATTATTATTTTTACAACATATACAAAATTTGTTTGAACACCATTTGAAAATGAACAAGATACAGGAGTCTGGACTACCTCCAGCTCAAAAACTACATATTTGAAAGAAAAACTTCCATCAAACTAATCTCTCTCAGGTCAATATGAAAACCCAAATGAATAGGAAGGTGTACAGAAAATGCTGAGTCTAATGGCCAGCTCTAGTAGCCCAAGTTAGATGGTACTGAAGAACAATACCTGCCCTTCTTCCTCACCTTACCAAAAAGGACATAATCTTCCAAGAAGTGGAAGTGAGATGATTGAAACTGGTCCCCATCCAGTCCCAGATTGGTACTAGGCATGGATCTGCTCACCAGTAGTAAGAATGCTAAACAAGATGAGCTAGGACAAAGCATCATCAATGTTTTATGAAAAAGCTTTGCCTAGTTTGGGACAGAGAAGGCACTGAGCTGACCATGATCTTTGTTCAGATCTGGGCAACTTGAAAACAGTAAATGGGAATTTGATTGCTGAGTGTCTAATAGCACCTGCACAAAAATACTGGGCACTGGATCAACATAACAGGTTTTAGAGGGACCTGCCAATAAAACTAGGAAAAGAGATTATCCAAAACTAAATCATCTGTTTGGTCTTAAATAGAGATAATGGATGGGACCACATGATCATGTAGATGACAGACATGAAGAGCAGCAGACACTGCAGAGCAGTGTCAGAGCTCAGAAACTGGGTTCTTTTTGGAAGAAGCTTCCTCCAGGTGCACCTGTAGCCTTCTTCCCCACCAACAGGCATTTGGTCCATTGGACCACTGAACAGTTGGTCTAAAGTAAAACCTACAAAGTAAGTACTGTGACACTCTACAAATCTGTTCCTAGTGGGCCACGCTGCTTGCTAATGCAGACATAGTCACTGATGGGTGGAAGAATCTAATGCAAGTTTAAGGGAAACTAGGTTTAGACACTGCCTCTCTGGAATTTGAGCATGAAATCTAGACAGGACAAATCAGAATTTCATTACGGATATCAGCTGTGCTGTAAATGCCAAGAAAGTTGTCTTACACTTTCAAGTAAAACAAACACTTTGTAGACAAGTGTTTCCTAGAAATCAGATTGAAATGCCTACAGGAGTGGAAACAATTATAACAGTTTCTTGCTGGGGTAGCCTTTCAGCCAAGATAAAATAGAGTGGCTGATGCCCACCATGCAACTAGGCTCTTGGGAATCTTAGCAGCTAAGTCTCTGCAAAAGTAGGAAGCAATACATCTAGTAAATATCGCCATAGAAGGTGATGCCAAGCTCCAAGAGTTTCTGTTGGACTTGCTAAAGCATGACATTGTGCATTTAGACAAGGAACAGCAGAATAGTCCCAGGTCTCCCTGGAATCAGTCACTCCTCACTATCAGTCAGAAAACTGCTTCACTGAGCACACAAAAGGGGAAAAAAGCAACACAGCTCAGCAACAGCTGGTATTAAGTGGAGGAGGGAGAGGGAGGAGAACCACTGAGAAGATGTATCAGGAATGAATAACTGAATCTTTAAACAATCCCTGGTGGCAGCACCACTGTCTGCATAAACTACAGAAAAGTGTATTCAAGTAAACATCAAAGGATTCTGCTCTGGCTGGAGTTAATACTCTATTTTCCATAGCAAGTTCAGGTTTCCCTGCTTTAACTTAAAATAGGTACTATTAGGTGAAAAATGGGTGTAAACTTTGTTCCTGCATCTGGACATAAACTGCAAAAACTTCAAGCCGTGGCTTTTGACTTGTACAATGGACCTACTACATTTCAGCGGTTATGGACGCAGTGTTCTGCAAGGAGTTAATCTCTCCTGGCTTGTTTATTGCACCTGGTTGATACCCTGGGCCGTGTAAAAAGCTTGGGACAGGAACCGGCACATTGACATGTGATCTGTAGGAAGTTTAAATTTAAGAAAAGTGGGTGATGGACCTATCTGACATAGGTAGATTGTAATGTTCAAGTGACAGACATCATCAAAATAAATGTAAGAAACAAACTTTTCTATGGAACCTAATAGAAGAAACAATAAAAGAATACCACATCAAAAATGGACACACAGCCACACTTGAGCAAAAGCTGAACCACAGTTGCCAAATGGTTTCCGTGGAGATGTATACAGCAAATCTGGTGGGAAGACGGAGTGAACTTTCACTGATGGGTAACTGGGAGGAGAAATAGCTAAAAAGAGCAGAAGGAAAGTGAAGGAAAGTGAAGACTCTCCACTCACAAATAGCATGAAGAAAGAAAGTCTCAAGAAAGAGACCTTTTGAGTACAAAGTTGCAATGAAGAAGATTGGATCACAGAACAAAGAAATAAGGTTTCAGTTCTAGTCACTCTGTGTCACTCTGTTGCCTAACTGTTCAAATTAGAAAGGAAGAAGAACAAAATACATCGTTCATATTATGTTGGTATGATTAATTCTGATTTCTGTGTCAGCAGCAGTGCTTATACAAAGTTTGTTCTTTAAATACCTCCTTTAAAAATGAGAACATACATTTTTTCAACATGTAAAGGTGTAGTTATCTAGAAAAATATACAAAACATAAATATACAAATATGCAAAAATTTACAATTAAAAACCCTGGGCCTTAGGAATCATAAAACATCATTACAGAATAGCTAACACGGTATTTGATTTTGCATGTTTAATTTAAGAAACACATTTTCAAGTATCATGCCTGATATAAGGAATCCACTCGCCAAAGGAAAAAAGATACTGAAGACAAAAATCACAAGCTACTTGAAAATTTAAGCCAGAACAGCAGCTCAACTGACTTCAAGCAGAAAGAACTTGCTCTGGACTTCTAAAAACCAGGCCCAAAATATCTCAGACTGAGCATTTAAATATCCAGGCACCCAAAATCAAGCAAACTTTTTGAAAATGTCTCGTTTCCTCATCAGAGACAGTAGGAAATTGTTACATGAAATGTGTCTTTAATAGGGATCAGTTAACACTTTCTAATAATAGACCAAATGATGCAGATGAAGAGAGAAGATGATTTCAACTGATGCAAGCTCCTAAAATACAATGGCACTTCTGAAATTTTTATGTAGATATTCTTTATTTTCAGAACAAAAGTTTCTAAATTCATAATGCAAAACAACAAAAAAACCCCATATGTTTGTGTTGACAGTAAGCCCCAGTTGACCTCCTCCTCAAACAGCTTCAGTAAGCTTTCAGGCACACTTTTACACTTACAAAGGAATGCCTAATATAGTGTATCCATCACACAATCGCACACACCTAGCCTGGCAGCGTATGCATGTCCAAATCCGACGGCTGCATGAGCACATAAAAAAACTGCATGCAAAGTAAGCTCATATTTGTGCATTAGTAACTACTGCCTTTAGCCCCAGTCCTGCAAAAAATTATGCACCTACTTAACTTTATGCAGCAGGGTCTTAACACAGTCTTTAACTCAGCTACCTGTGGTAGGGAAAATGCGTAAGAATTGAAGCATTTTAGGGAACTGGGGCATGTGAGAAGTAGGTTTCAATGGAAAAATTCACAGCACATAGTGTTAGGTCCTTTTTGATCTGGAGAATGACAATGAATTCTGGCTACACTCTTCAGAAGGTCAGGCCTTCTGAAAATCATCCAGTCCTTGGCAGCAGTTTAATTACGAGACCTGGCCTGAAGTTTGGCACTAAAATATGAATACTTTGGCCTGAGGTTTTCAATATAATTTCCAGATCAACTATTTCTTAGTAGGGCTTGTCATATACATAAATGTCTTTAATATCCATGTACTAGATTTTAAAAACACATTTGAACTAAGGTTTTTCCACCTTTTGTGACTCAAACACAACAGATTTTTTTATACCTTACATTTCTAGAAGCACAGGAAAACATTTGACTTGTAACAAAAATTCAGTTTACAAAGAGATGTTTAACTTACCTGCCAGAAGTCAGCGACAGTAGCAGGGAGAGGGCCCTGGGTGGCAATATATGCTGGGTTTCGGGGGTCATGGTCCATCTGGAATAAGGAGAGAGAACACAGACTGGTTTTATTTAAAAGAAAATCCCTTGCTGTTTTAGAGACAGAAAGTATGCGAGGGCAGAAACAAGGGACTTCCTAAAGGACTGTCATGTCCCGCCATCCTTTATTGGCAAGCAAAGATTTTTATTTCTATTTATAAGCTCAGAGGAGACCTTTTTCCACAAAAGACTGATGTTACCAGATGAATTTCAGCACACATGATGAGCAATGTCCTATGTCCTCAAAATGCAGCATAAGATCATTTATGGTGGTTGACAAAGGCATTGATTTGAGATGAGTACTCGTGGTTTCATAGCAACCTAGGAGCCATTTGAAACATTTTTCTACACTGAGTGTTAAGAATGCTCCACACATCTAAATATGTTCTTCATTTCCACCATGCCAGTCAAGGGCACATGTAACTAAAAACCAGCAAAAATGGGGAACAAATTCAGTTTCTGGCTTTTTCTGGTTAGCTGATTTATCTAAATGCATGGATTTGGCCTCAATAGAGGAAGTTCTGCTTAAAGACCTTCATTATTACATTTAATTCAAGGAGCAGAAAATTCACTGAGCAGAAAAAATAAAGAATCTAAGAAACAAAGCCATCAAGAGTAAATAGGATTAGCGTGTTACAATGAATGTTTTCGAACTGATGGGTGGTTTTCTTGGTTCTAAATCTTAGGACCCATTCTGCTGAAAAAGAAGATCTGCTGATGGGATTAAAAAACAAACAAACTCATTCTAACCCTGAACTGGGCAAGACAAAACTTTGAACATAAAGAAAAGAGACCCAGTTCAGCTCTCAGATGTGTGGGTGTGACTCAGTGACACTGAAGTCGGCGGGAGTTAACTTATACCCATGTAGCTGAAGGCAGAATTTGTCACAATATACGATTCTGTTCCATAAGTAAAGATCTGAATAAGAATGAATGTGAGTCACATTTGCATTAAGAGGCATCTACTGAATTTATTCATAGCCTATCAAAATTTTCAGTGATGGTACATGTCAGCGTAAAAGAAGGCACCTCATAATTATGTGCAACATAAAAGAGGGAAGAACCATAAAAGAACAGATGTAAGTTATTCTAACAGAACAACATGATGAATGTTGCAAAAAGGAAGAGAACACTTTTATGTTTCTAATTTTCTGATGTATAATTAAGTCGGACTTAATATTAAAATTCTCCATGACAACACAACACAGGTAGAATGAAGTCACTGAATCCATTTAGAATAAAAGCTTACTTCTGATTCACCACCCATAGTTACAAAAACCCTTGACCAGGATGTCTATAATACCATCATTTTATTCTGAGCTTCATTGAGATGCTTTTATCAGCAAATAACTCTTCACAACAAGCAATTGCTCACAACAAATTTCAACCTTGCTTTCTTTGCCTTTTTACAAAAGCAATTCTGATAGCAGGGTATTTACTACTGTGGGTATTTTGAGATCAGGAAAAAACTAGATTTCTTCAGAAAGCATTATTAGCAAAAAAACCTTAGGAACTATTTCAAAATGGGCAACTTTTTTTTGTTTTTGTAAGAATTGAGACACTGAACTAAACACAGCTGAAAACAACAGCAAATGTGATTAAGCAAAGTCAGGCTTAAAGATTATTTTTGCTCCATTATGGTTGAAATAATTTCTGTTGTTGTTTTGTTTTGAATCCCACAGAGATCTATAGGATTTAATCATGTGCTTAAATGTTTTCCTATGCTGGAACTAAGAATCTTAGGTTAGAAAAATCGACCTGCACCATGGAGGACTCACTACTCCCAGTGGAAACTGTTGTAGGCTGCATCCACTTGAAAATGACGTCACTTGTCTAGCAGGCGAGAGCCTGACTTGGAAATGTAACCGACAGTGAATACACAAACTTTAGAAAAATAATAATTTACTTTGAATTTCTTCTTAAACTAAATTCTTTTGTATGTAGACAGGCCAGAAAACAAAGGCAGAAGAAATCAAGGATGATGCAAATAGCGCTGTCATGGAGGAAATACTTCTCAATGTTCAGCTGATAAATCAGGAATAGGCCAATCTTGGCATTTCAGCATTAATCAACCTCTGTCACAAAGGTGCTGTTGGAACGTGGCAAACATTACAATAAGCACAGAGTAGTGAAGTGTATCAGCAGTTTAACAATAATTCAAAAGACAATTACAATTATTACATTCCAAGCACATTGTGTTGCACAGAAAACAATTATGAGCACAAACTCTTCTTGCTTGGAGCAAATAGAAGATGGCAGAAAGCCCTATCACACCATTAAATGATCTTTAACTGAACAAAAATAAAAGCAAAGATTAAACTAATTAAAAGAAATTCCTGGTTTCATCAATTTTCTATTATATGTACTGTTTTAAAGGCCACATATTTCAAGAAAAGTGTGAAAAATCACTACTCTGGTCACATTCGATTTAACGTGAGTAGGTGACTGCAAGGGATGGTTCTTGAATGTTTTTGTTATGTTCTTTTTTATTCTCTCAAGGTCACCAAAACCACCAAGGGCATCTTAATCTATCAAAGTTAACAAAAGTTTGAATAAAGAAATAAAGTCAGTAATGGGTTTTAAACTAACTAATCAAGGATCAAGTAAAAGGCTTTTTTTTATGTCAGTAGTCATTATCTTCTTTCAAGAATACCTCAGATTTCTCACTTCACAAAAATAAAACAGAGACTGTATTCTCCAGAGAAGAATAGAGAACAGCAGGCTCAATACTATCAAGTATTAAAACAAAAATCGACTGTTTGCTAACATTTTACATTGGAACAACCTTCAGAAACCACCTAATAGTAATTGTTCAAAAAGAACAAGATTTTTCCCTCTATGTCCCCATCAAAGCACAGAGTTCACAAGACATCAGAACTGGATCGAACAGCCATTTTTGGGAAGAAAAAGCTGCTATTATTACAAATGTTCTGCTATGGTGGAATTCTCATTTTCTGCTGCAATACAACAAGGCAAGTCTGGTGACAATGTTTCAATCTATTTTTCCATGATTTTGTATTAGGGAAAGTAAGGGATCAAGGATTACTATAACTGACCATGCAATTGACTGTGGTGATTTCCGTCACTACCAATGTCAAAAGCAAACGGAAACAAAAAGGAGAAGCATTCAGATTTCTTGTTGGAAAAGAAATACTATAGAGAACTGAATGAAAAAGTCCCTATATATTAGATAGGTGAGTGCCACAACTTGTGTTTTTCTACAGGGCTTTGTAATGAAAGTTGACTTACAGTATCTTAAAGTAGGAAAATATATAAAGAACACAGTATCACATTTAGTTGCATCTTTGTTAAATTAATATCAGACCACAATTCCACCTTTGCTTTACTAGAGAATAAAAGCTACTCCTTCAGTTTTTCCTGCAAGAGTTCTGCTATCCAGTTGCCTTATCCTAGGACTTTGCAAGGATTCCCTGAAGAACTCTGAATTTTGTTGAGTTTTTAGATAGAGATCGTGCTGCTGCATGATTTCACTGATAATGCAGATGAAATACAGCAAAATCAATACATTCTGGGAGTAAATCCTCAAATTTATTGTATTTGGACTTGAGAGCGGTACATATAGATTCCTGTTAAGTAGTCTTCTAAAACTGTAAACTGAAGTAAAAGTGTCAATAGGCATCAATGACCATTTTGAAATCTCATGTAAATGATACACTGATTCATTCCTGCCCTTTACCTTCCCTCTGAGCTTGACAGATCCTTACTTTCCACTTTCCACACAGAAAGATGCTGTGTGAGATGTGGTCTCAGTCACACCAATCTAAATCCTCTGAGTCCAGCTGAAATATTCCTAAATCATACGAGATCAGAATGAGATCCAGCGTAGACCAAATATGACAGAAAGAAAGTTGAACTCTGATTAACACCTTAAAATTTTGTGTGGATTCAAGCTACTGTGTAGTTTCCAGATTTAATGTGTTTATAATAGCAATATAATCTACTTTCATGCATGTATTTATTACACAGAGTATAGACAGTCTCTAAAAGTAAAAAAGTATATTTGTTTTTGTAAAAGAAAGCACATTCAGCAAATGCAGATGAACTTTGTGATCACATTCATCTCAGCATTAAAATTAAAAAGGTAGACTAGTCCTCATCTTCATGTTTGAATTAAAATTTAAAACAATTTTTAAATCCTTCCTTTAAAACGCCTAATGGAATAAAAGATGTAAATCTGGTTGTGAATGCCATTATGAATTTCAGAGTCTATTCTTGGTGATGAAATTTGTATGCTGTGTTTGAACAAACTGTCATGCTAATGACATTCCTCAGTCTGGTGTCTTCAATAATAAGCAAACTGAGTTTTTAAATGTAGTTGATGGGATTTTTTCTCTCTCAGACACCCTATGAGGAAAAACAGAATTCCCATTTACTTTCATGACCTCTGATTTAAAAGCAAAGATTGCACATTATTTACTACTGGATGATTTTCCCGAAATTTAATGAGGACTAAGTACAAATATGACAGATGTAATTATCACAGTTTTATTCTGCACAGTCAGGGTCTCCTTGTGCTGTAATTGCAAGCCTTTCATTCAGCTGCCGATAGCAGAGTTATTATCATAGTACTTTATGTTATTTCAGAGAGGAGGGAAACAGATTTCTACCTCACTTTTACCCTGCAAATTTCTCCTAAGGACTCATTTTCTCTGGCCTCACGCTACAGTGAAATTAAATACCTACAGGAAGAACTTGGACTAAATCTCTGCTGATTCTCCTCACCCACTCTCAGCCATGGTGAGGCCATCAATCTAACCCCAGTTTTTACAATATATTGGAAGGAAAGGAGGTCTTGAGGGGGGTAGCATTTTTTAGAAGGAAGAAACATGTGGGCAGGTGGCCAGCTCATTGTCTAGCACGGGGATTTTTTTCTGATGTACTGCTGCACTCATTTAGACTTAAGTTAAGGTTGAGTGAGCCCCAGCTGGAGACTGGACCACTGACCCAGAAGCGGGAGATACCCAGTGACATGTACATGACTGGAAGCCTTGCTTTCCGAAGCTCAAATATAATTATTTTATTTTACACTACTCCCTCACCAGACAGCTCACACACGCAGGGAGAAAAGACCCTCCTCCAGTCAGTTCAGACCATACTGATCCTGTGCTATTAATGCCCATCTTGCAGCTCACTACAGTGCTTACTCCTAGCTCAAGCGCTGCAAGGCGCAAATGCACCAAAAACATCACTGTATTGACATGATAATTATTGAAGTTACTTAAGTTGAAAGGGAGCAGTCTGAAGGAAAGAAATGGTAGAATTTTTGCAAGAGCGAATAAAGGCAGACTTACTGGTACTCCACATCCACTGTACACTTACAAAGACGTTGATTAAATGTCTCAAATAAACAGCAATAGTAATAGCATGTATGTCCAGCTCAGGATGCAGTGGCTGCACAGCCACAGTAAATACTGCAGAATCAAGTGCCCAATATAATATTCCAGTAGGCTTCTGAGGTGGGAAGCAGGACTGAAAGTCTCGGTCACTCCTATATTCTACCTCATTATACAAAAGCAATACCAGATTAACAAATACATTTATGCTAACCTGAAGATATTTAATTTGTCTTGAAATGAAACAGTTTGCAGGGAATCCTTCCAAACTATGGGCTTGCAAAGTAGTGATTTCCTCCTACCAACCTCCCACTGCATCACCTTCAGGAAACACACATTTTATCTATTGCTTTCAAAATAGCAAAATGGCTATTGACTTAGTGAAACAAACTCACAAAACCATCTGGAGCATCTCTTTCCTTGGAATAAAAGGTCATCTACACAAATGTGGGCTGTGGCACTCCTTCCCACACAGTAGGGTCCCTATCCAACCAGGAAGAAGAGGAACTCAAGAGTTTCTCTTGGCAGTTTTCCATGGCTATGCAAGACACTGGGTGCTTGTCCCAGCTTAATGAAACACTTGTGCACCCATTTATCTCTGGGCATAAAAATATTTCTGTAAGAGATATAGAGACAATCATAAGAATTTTGCTTCATCAGTGTGATTTGTTTTATTGGACAAAACTGTTGAGTCTGGGAAAGCTACAAAAAAGAAATACCTTCTAACTTTCCAGAAGAAAACACCCTTAAGTGCCAGACGGAAAAGCAAGATTACAACCCCCTGTAAAACCATGAGAGTTAAAGCTGTGGAAGCAGAGACCCTCTGCCTGCATTAGCTTCAGGCATCCTGACAAAGCAAACCTCTTCCCAGTTATGCCAATGGGATACATTGGTCCTGCCTCTCCACCCCCAACGCTACTTAATCTAATACTTTTCTCATCAGTGTATTTAATTACCAGCATTACAATTGCAACAGGCATACACACACATGCACAAATTTATCCCTCCCCCAACCAAATTTGGGTACTAAAACCAGTTAAGGTGTGTCTACAGAGACTTTTGGGCAGGTTGCAGAAGGCCACCTTGGTTATTTGGTACAAACACAGCACCTGCACCGCTGCCAACACTGAACCTGGCTTAGCACTGTCTACAGATGCTGTAATTCCACTTCTGCACCATGTTGTAGTCACGCGAATTACAACCAAGCTCTTACAAGAATACAGTATCTCACTTCCAGTTAACACCTCCCACTCCTGTGCTTGCCACAAAACCTCTCAGCTTCTACTATCAAATTAAGGCTTGACCAAGCGTAAATCACTGAATCTGCCCTGAAGACAGGCAAACAGAGCACTGGAGCCCTGGAGCTGGACCTCTGTGCATGACTTTACAAGCAGGATACATATTCCTTGGGAGTGCCAAGTTACTCCTGTCTCCTGATCCTGGGGCCAGCTAGAGCTTGGTCTAGCCAGAGACATACTTAAAAGTAGTCTAAAAACTGCTCTAATCTGTGCGCATCTACCTCTGTTCTCTAAAATGGCAGCTGGCAATCCCTGAAGCGTGCAGGTGCTTTGGTTTACCCTCTACCGTAAGTCAAAGGCAAAAGCATCCTGAAGATGTTTGTTAGGTTCTGTGTATCTTTTAACTCTTTGAATAAAACATTTTTGTATGTTCAAGGAAATGAAACTTTTGAACTCTGATGAAAGTAACAAAAACAAAGCTCAGAGAACACTTTCTATGTAGTTGTGTTTTTTTTAAAGGAAAAAAAGTATTGTCAACAACACTGGGAGGAAGCAGCCTGTAATTTCATGCTGTTGCAAATTGTCAGCTGCCTTGCCCACACAAAGTGATTTAACTGGGGGAGTGATACTCCCCAGGAAAATGAGCCAGTAATGGCATACACAGCCCACTGCAGCGAGATCTAATTCTCCATCCTAGGTTCTTTCTCATAGTTTCCCTATAATAACTTTTAGTGCCTAATTAATGTGAATAAGAACCATGAGCAAAAGTGACTCCAATACTAGCAGTCTCATGGAGATCAAGGACACAGTGCCTTTTTCCCCCTTCAAACGGATATCACGACACTTCCATTGAGATGCTATGACAGGGCAATGCTACTGGCTCTATCATACCTGTTTTGTGTCTAAAAATAGAGACCTTTTCTCTCTATCACCTTTCACAGACAAGAAAGGACTCATATTCAGCTTATGTAGGATGAGAAAAGGCAGCTGGGCCACGCTGGAGTATTTGGAGGCAAAAATTGGATTGACCTATTTTGCAGTTTGAATGAATACATAAGTGGTAAGGAATCTCATTCTTGCTTTCAAAACAGCGAGCTCAGAGAAGAACTGGGAGAGCTAGAGAAACACAAAGCTATTCATCTGTAGGGCAACAGAGGAAAAGAGGTAAGAGGAAACGTCACTTCCTGCTGCAGAAGTTCAGAAGCCTGTGGAGCTCAGCTCTCCACAACTACAGAAACCACTCCTCCTACAGCAGTAGCTAGTAAGAGAAAGCAAAAAAGAACAAGCAAGTTTTGCCTCCTCAGAGAAGGAAAAGCTCCACTAAGGGTGTATAATTGAATGTATAATCTGTAAGTTAATAATATCAAGTACAGAAAACCTGGCAGTATTACAAGGTAGATCAACAACTATCCAGTGACTTCTTTTTCTTAGTACATAAACTTCAAGGGTATTGCATACATATGTAGAAGATTTCTTTCTCTTCAATTTGAAAGGACAGCCTGAGACATCAGCATTGTGAGGTGCTCACAACCTGAGGTTGCACAACTTGAGCAGTGAGGTGCCTCAAGTAAGCATATTTTAACAACAAGGAAAGACAGGGACTGACTATTTGGATTATTTCTCATAGATTACCATACTTACAATTGGGCTAGCATTGATGTAGTCTGAATTGTCGTGGCTATTTTCAGCTTTCAGACATATCCTGGAATGATCATCTGCAAAGGAGAAATAAAGAGAAGAAAGTTTCTATACAAGTATTCTACCCATTTTAAGTTAAACAATTCAAAGTCCGATTAATGTGCATTTCAAGACAAGCAAACAGGGTAAATATCAGAAAGGATATTTCCTTCTGACTCCTAACCGCACATAGTCTTGATACAGCCACAGAGTCACAGCCTGACTCAGGAATGAAGCTCTAGGATATTTCAGAGGCTGAGTATCAGAAAGCATGTCTTCATGAGATGCACCATAATGTGTTACAACGTCTCATAGGAAAAAGGGGAATCTCTACTGCTCAGCGAGTTTAAGATCTAAACTAGGCAAATCGCTAGGAAAAACTAGTATTATAGAAAACACTCCTGTGTTTGCAGGGTCATGGAAGAAGTAAGCTGATGGACTTCGTCCATCTGGCTTCTCTACAAAATGAACAGCAGAAACATTGAAGTACAGTTGAGAGCTGGACAGTAAGTTGCTGTCCTGAACAAAGACCAGTGCTGTGTGGTGCTATGCTGGTGATGTGGGGAGACGATATGACTTGGGGATGATTGTCGGAGAGAGAAAATGCTGATAACAACTGCATCTAAAAGTACGACTGGAGCACATATAGACGTTGTACACTGCTGGTAATGTAGCTAGTTCAGACACCACTAGTAAAGAAAACAGCAGCTCTGGACATAGACTTACTCATGTTGTTTGCCCATCATCAAGTTCCTTTTATCACTCTTTAACTTGTATTTCTACTGGTACTAGCTCAAGTATGCTTAGAGCTGGTACACCTCAAATTCTAGTTCTTTTTTTTTACTTCAGGACGTATGTAATGGATGGGTTTTATTTGTCTGTATTTAGACAGTGACAATGCAGATGTCTGCATCCGTTCCAGTCATCTAGACTCACTTTCTGCTAAGAGAAAAGAAATATTTCTATGTCATGAATCATCTCATCCTAATGTAGCTGTCTCAAACAGGCCAAATAGCACTTGAGAAGTGCCCGTTTCTTTCCATTGACTAAAGAAAGACTAGACCACATGCAGAAAATTTATGTGAGAGATGTCCAAGTCTTTACATATGAATCTCAAACAACTTATACATGATACATAACCAGCACAATTCATACTTCTCAGCAAACCTACCCTGTACCCTATTGTGGTGAGACGTCGTGGAACTACCCTTTCTGTAACCCTCCACAGCTGAACATGAATACTGATGTTTTGAGAGGATCTTTCCACCAATTATTCAAATAGACAAAATAAGAATACACGAATACACCCTGTCCCCCTTTCTATCTTGTCTAGTGGTCCGTGACACCATTCTTAACAGCAGAATTATAAGCTGGCTTTTTAAACTACTAAGTACCAATCATTATTTTAATAATGAGGAACAACAAATGTAAGCACCACACAAGAAAGTAGAGACAGAGGGTTTCGGCTCTGCTTAGGTTTATTCACCAGTAATGTCGTGGCAGTTCAATAGGTGAGCAAGAGAAAGGTGTGCTTGTATGAGTGTTGTTTATAGTCACTCAATCTCATCAGCAAAATTTAACCCACTAATGTGAGCAACCTTCTCATGGAATAAGATTAGAGGTGAACAAGTCATGCCAAATGAATGAAGAGCCATTCTTTCCAGTTAACTGGAAGTTAGCAAATGTGATGCCTATCTACAAGAAGGGATGGAAGGAGGATCTGGGGAACTACAGGCCTGTCAGTTTGACCTCGGTGCCGGGGAAGGTTATAGAGCAGAACATCTTGAGTGCCATCACGCGGCACATACAAGACAACCAGGTGGTCAGACCCAGTCAGCAAGGGTTCATGAAAGGCAGGTCCTGCTTGACCAACCTGATCTCCTTCTATGACAAGGTGACCCACTTAGTGGATGAGGGAAAGGCTGTGGATGTTGTCTACCTAGACTTTAGTAAAGCCTTTGACACTGTTTCCCACAGCATTCTCCTGGAGAAACTGGCTGCTCATGGCTTGGATAGGCGTACGCTTTGCTGGGTAAAAAACTGGCTGGGTGGCCAGGCCCAAGGAGTTGTGGTGAATGGAGTTCAATCCAGTTGGTGGCTGGTCACAAGTGGTGTTCCCCAGGGCTCAGTTTTGGGGCCAGTTCTGTTTAATATCTTTTTCAATGACCTGGATGAGGGGATCGAGTGCACCCTCAGTAAGTTTGCAGAGGACACCAAGTTGGGCGGGAGTGTTGATCTGCTCGAGGGTAGGAAGGCTCTGCAGAGGGAC